GTTAAATCTATGTTCAGTAAGTTGATAAATTCAGGTCAGGAAAACTTTCCGGCTAGGTAGATTTGGAGCTCATTTAGTCCTTCTAAAGTGAAGTTTTTGCTCTGGACAATGGCTTTAAATAAATGTCTATCCAAAGTTAATCTAGTGAAATGTGGCATTCAGATTTCGGATATGTCATGTGGCTTATGTGGTGGGGTAGTAGAAACTATTGAACATCTGGCCTTACATTACCCAGTCTCGACTTATATTTGGAGGCATTTTCTCCAAACTTACATTGCCCAGTCTCGACTTATCTCGGTTTGAAAGACTATCCCGGCTGCTGTGCTTTGGAAATGGTGCAAATAGCTGTGGGTAAACTTCTGCCCTGGGTGTCAACATCAGAGTTGTTTAAAAATCAGAATTTAAGTCTGTTGTTTAGATCTCAGAACTGGTTGTATCTGTAATTTGTGGTGGCTCTAGGCAGCTTCTAATGGCATAGGCTCCTTTGTACTGGTTTTTATTTTAATAAATTACCTTACCTTTTCAAAAAAAAATGCAGTTGACATTTAAACATTCTTTGACATCTAGGATGGATAATTTTGCTAAAAATAATACTAGATTTATCATAATTGATTACCTGGCCAAATAAAGATCGGAACTGATGAACAAACTTACAGTTATCCACTTCTGGTACAACATGATGTCATCAATGAAAAAGGGTGAGAAATTAAAGGAGCTTGGTGATGTATTCTTACTAAGTGTACCCTTACTGTTTGAAAATTGACTGATGCTACCCTTACTATTTTTGCCAATTGACTAACTCTATTCTTACTATTAACCTCCGTAAAAAAACAATGCAAAATGCCTAAACTACCCTTCGGAGTTCAGATGTTGTCGTTGCTGGGTGGAGTTACAGAGCAGCAGGTAGAGTTACGGGGCAGTGCCATCGCCGTCGCCTAGGAAGAAGATAAAGAGATCAAACTTCAGATGTTGTGTCGTCACCCAGAGGAAGAATGAAAATGATGAAATGTCCGCCTTTAAGTTAAAAGAAAAACTCCTTCCCTAACCTCTTCTCCCCTCTTTTGAATGTTAAATATTGAACCGGCTGGAGTTTTCATAGATGAGTTTGAGTCTGAGATCTAGAGTGGCATGAGTCTTTGCAATGTGTAGATCGGCCAAATAAGTTTTGAGTATAAGATTTCCAACGATGTACAGCATGAGTCGGATCTCTAGAGCGGAGGTTGAGATCTGGTTGTATCTGTTGTGGTGTGCAGCATGAGTTTAAGTTTGAGATCTGTTGTATCAGATTCATGCCACTCTGAAGGTCTGAGATCTCTGGTCAAATACAAACCAACTAAGTTGGTGGGGGCGTTGTTTCTGAGTTGAAGAGGATTGAAGTTTTGGAGCAAGAAAAGTTTGGGTTGCTGCACGATAAGGGGGAGAACGATGAGAAAATCAAGCTTCTCACAGAGGAGATCAAATGATTCAAGAAGAATCATGGGTTATGCTTCCAAGGATGCATCAATGGAGGAAAATGTGTTCAGGGTGTTACATGGACAACAAGTTCTACGTGATCAGAGGGCAAAACGAAAGAGGAGTTGATCTCACCTACGGTGAGTTCTATGATGCAAATAGAAACGCATGGGAGCTAGTTCCAGACATGTTGAAGGATGCCCCTGTTTCGACATCGTGATCTCCACCCCTTGTTGCTGTTGTGAACAACGAACTCTACTCACTCGAAGTTTCATGAAACCATCTAAAGTTGTACTTGAAGAAGAGCAACTTGTGGAAGGATTTGGGGATGGTTCATGTGAGAGCCGATCAGAACAGGGCACTTTGAGTATTAAATTTTTAGTTAATCAAAATAATGGTATAAAGACGGTTGTAAAATCAGAGTGCTATCAAAACCTTGTAAACCTTATGGTTTAGCATTCGCTTACCCCGCGTCCACTTTAGGTGCTAAATCCAAATCACTATTGGTTCGTTTTGAGTTTTAGAATAGAGAAGAGGTCTTCTCTGTTCTCTTCGACATCATTGTCATTACAGCAGCAACTAACGTTGGCCAGACCTCACGGTAGCTTATTCCCACGAACAATGGCGCCCCTCTTGTTCTCTTCTCCGAAACCGCCACAACTGAATAGGTCTATCTCCTTAGCCATCGTCTCCTCTGAGAATCCTCGTATTATTGGTGAAAAAGAAGGGGAGAGAGAAAGAGGGGGAGAGAGGTGAAGGGTAAAATTGGATTTTAAAAAATATATATCACGCGCGAACGAGTTTTGACGAAATATTAACATAATTTAATGGTAAGGGTAGAGTTAGTCAATTGTTAGAAACAGTAGAGGTAACATTAGTCAATATTCAAACAGTAAGGGTACACTTAGTCAATTAGCTAAACCATAAGGGTAGTTTAAGAAATTTACCCTTAATAAAAAGACATTTCGAGCTATTTTTAGGTTTGATTGGGGGAAGATCTAATTGTCGAAAGACTTTACCCCAAAAAGACGTAGAAAGCCTGTTTCGGGCTATTTTCAGGAAGCTTTGAATTGAGCTTTTCGACTTTTTTTGTCTCATCTTCACATAGAAAGATGCACCTCCAGCCAAACGGTATGTGGGCTGCCGAGATCTTTATGTAAAAGACCACTATTTCTTTTGACTGTCAAATCTTCCAAAAGGTCTTTCAAAAAAGACTTGTCAAATGGCACCAAAGTCTAGAAAGCCCTTCCATAGCTAACATGAATAAGGAGACAAAGACTCTTTGACATAAGCCTCTGGTAGGAGACAAGTGGCCCTCTAGAGTACCATTGATTAGGACTAAGAAGGATAGTGTGGATAAACATTTCAAGATCAAACTACACCACTCAAGAAATAAAAAAGACTAAAGATTTCATTAGATGAGACTAGCTAAGGTTGCATTTGGCATTCCTTATTTTAAGGACTCATCTCCTTTTTGTAGTTAAAAACCAAGTGTTCATAGGGGTATTTTAATAGCAAAAAGGAGATAAGTCCTTAAAAAATGAATGCCAAATGCAGCCTAAACCTATCATAAGCCTTAGACATATCCAACTTCAAGGCCAAGGAGAGAGTCAAACCGTTTATGACTAGATGATGCAGAATTTCACGAGTAATAATGACTATCCACCATTTGAGGGTCACGTACAAAAGCAGCTTGATAAGGAGAGATGAATTTATCTAAAAGAGACTTAAACCTAGGGATGAAATAATGAGATGGTAATCTTGGAATTTCGAGCAGGCAATGTGTTTAGGGATGAGATAAATGGATGTATGATTTAGCCTATGTAAAAGTCTTCTATTAATAAAAAAAAAAAGGAAAAGTATCTGCAGCTCATTGTAGAATTCTGAATTACAGCCCCCCATAGTCTACTAGTAGTCCCTCCCGTAGGGTGGGGCTAAAGAATTCTGAGCTGGGTTTATCAGTCATTCTCCCTAAAAAAAATCTTGAACAAACTGTACAATATATTCATGCATCAAATCCCAAAAATCCTGAAAAACAAGGGCCAGCATACCATCAAGACCAGGTGCTTTCAATTTGCTTATGCTAAAAACAACCTGTTTGATTTCACAGCCACAAGTGTTTGATTGTGTTCAGGCGAAATAACAGGCTGGTAAGATAGATATATATTGTGTTCGGTACTACTGATCAAAACAAATTATTGTTTCTACCAAAGGTTAATGATTAGTCACATACATGCATTTTATATGTGATGTGACAATACATATTTTTCACGGATTTGTATTGATCAACTTAACACAAGGTGGGTGAAAACAGCAATGGTACCAAAGTTTTTGGTATTGTGGTGTTGCACAAGTATTGGGGCTCTGTCTGCTACTGGCGAGCTGTTCTCGCATCTCTACCCACTAGACATTGCAGCTGCGCATTGGGAATATCTCCCTGATTTATTATACATGGTGGTAATGCTCTGTGGGTTGGGATGTGGGAACATGTGGGTAGTAGATCCCGAGTGCAAGTATTGCATTTGACCATTTGTACTTGATTGGCTGATTCTGTCAAGACCCTTTACCACAAGCCCCTATTCAATGGAAATTGATCTCTCTTATTTTACCTCCTTTAGGCTGTGCTTGGTTTGATGGGAACTAAGAGAGAAAATTCCTTAAGAACTCTCCCTCAACTTAGAGATTTTCTGAATAACCAGACCAGATGGAAAGAGCTGGACTGGTGAATTTGAAATCCAGCAAGTGATTATCGAGAACGTGAACCAGTTTTATGAGTTGAAGCTTTTTCTTTCTCTAAGCAATTTCTCTTTGCAAATATACCTAGTGCGTTGAAAATTCTTTTTGTTTATATAGCTGACAGTGAATACTGAATATATTGGAATCCTCTCTGTCAAATTGACCTCATATACAAGTTCGAGTATTTTACCCTTGTTGTATTGCTCCAATGCTGCTATTAGCAGCAGCAAAGGAGTCATTCGGCATTGGATGGTTGACTGGTTAGTGATGGAGAAATTAGCAGTGGCAGAAAAAGGTTGCTGGGCTTCAGTGTAGAAGAGGGGGAATGAGAGAGAGACGGGGGGATTGATGAAAGCAGATCTCCAGTAGACCTGCAAATGATAATACATAAACACCCTTGACCTGGAAACATGTAAAAGCATTGGCGAAAGTAGATCTTTAATCCTGAACATGATTAGCATTCAACTCGTAAAGATTCAATCCCACCATTTGTTTTGTCTATGTCCTTCTGTCCATGCTATTTTGTTTGCTAGTCCTTGGGGCTTCAGATGTCCTGGGAATGGCTTGTGTTCAATTGTTGACTGGGTTTGGGATGTCCTCCATGATGATTGTTTTAGAAATGTGAAAGAACTTGGTTAGCTATTGCTTTCTATTACATCTGGATGCTCAGGAATGAAGCTGTGTTTCAAAGTGAAGTAATCTTAGAGATGTGGAATGGATTTTATGCAAGGCCATTAATATTTTTAATACCTCTATTATGGGGCCAGCTCTAATACTTTTGGATCAACCTGTGGAGCTGGTTCAAGAAATTTTAAAATGAGAAGCAGATGGGTTGAGCAAAGGCATGATTCTGTTTGAATCTGGTGTGAAGGAGCCATGGAGGGATCTCCAATGAAGGTAAAGGTTCTTTTGGTGTGTTAGCTTGTTCTAATTCTAGGTCCTTTTTGGCTGCTGCAGGTGGACCTCTTCATTTAAAATTTGGTGCTCTAGAAGCTGAATGTCAAGCCATTCCGTTTGTTGTTCATTTGCAAGATCACAGAATTAGGAAGTGTTGAATGTGTTCTTGATTCTCTTCTTTTGATCCTGGCTCTGAAAGGATCAAAAGTTTCAATTCCTTGAACTTTGTAGCATGTGTTGGATGAGATCAAATCTGTTGCTTCACATTTTAGTTTTATTTCATTTGATCATGTAATTAGAACTAATAGCTCACTGTATTGCTCAGAAAACTAATTCAGTTCAGGAGGTTTTGATATGAACTCTCCTCTAAATTTTGCCAAGCGAATGATACCATAAAGGGATGTAACAGGGTTTACATTTGCCTCCATACATTTTTAGATTCAAATTTACAACATATTTTAAATTATAACTGAGCTGAACTCACTCGTCTTTCTTCCACTTGCAAGGTACATACAAGGAAAAATAAATTAACTGCATCTGCCAGTAATAATCCATTAATTTATTCCAGCTCTACCAATACTCTTCTTCATCTGCCAGTAATGCTTGTAATTAATTCCTAGCTATCAAAGAAAAAAAGTACTAATTCTATTTCCAAAAAACCTTGTACTAACTATGAACTTACCATTTTCTCTGCCCATGTCTCAGAATTCGTCCCTTGTGAGAGTTTGAGGGCTCCAATGTTCTTGTTTGACGCAGAATTGGATTGACGCAAAACAAAACGTGTTGTTTCTGGTTACCTCTCATTGCAATATAACCACCTCCGGTTCATCCTTGATCTATTAAGATTTTCCAGCGGGCCAGGTCCCAGCAAAAATGAATATCTTAGCTCATTTGAGTCCAGGACAATACAGTGACTCCTTGGTTCTGATCCCATGGCCCAAAGAATGATTGCCAGGATAAAAGCAGTGATCTGAAAATGGGTAATACCTCTTATCATTATCATATTTTCTAGCCAGAAGTAATTCCTGAACTAATAGTAGACAAATAAGGGGGTATTCTCCAATGTGATTGTTTTATTTGTTGTGATTTTAAGAAAAATGGGTCTATGGTTAGTTTGAGAAAATCATTATTTTGTAAAACTAAAACAGACAAAGCAGATTTTTTTTATTGTGTAATGCTTTTCTTTAAAAAATCAGAAATGTGTTCTTGGAACTTTTGGTTTCAAAAACATGTTTTCCTCTGCTTATAAAGCATACAGATGCAATATCCGGATGCACATTCTAATCAAATGCAAATGTAGTTCACCTTTCTACTTTTGGCTCAGTTTGTTTGCAGTGAGAATTTCATTTGTACTTGTGTAAATGCATGGGAGTACAAATAGGTGCAAAATTTTGTATCAGGTAAGAGTGCAAATCATGGTTACAAATAAACGAATGCAAAAGGTGCAAAATTTCTATCAGGTTCATATTTGTGGTTTTGTACTGCAAATAAACATAGAATTTATTTTTATTTATATTTTGGATCCAAATACATTTATATGTGAGTTGGTTTGATTTATAGAAACATTAAAGCAACACTTGTAAGAGGCTCTATAGGAAATTTCAATGTGTTTCAACACACCAAATAGTAGCCAAAAATGTTGTTCCTTTTGAAAAACATGTTTCTTCTTTTGAAAGCATATTTTTGTTGGTTTTAGAAACAGGGTATCTTCCTGAAGGGTAAACCTATGATGCCGGAAAGGTATGATACCAGAAGTGCTTTGAATTTTGATGAATACCACCTGATTAGTTACCACTTATATGATACTGGTTGATTGGTTACAAGTTTTTCCAGTATCATAAGTTCATAGTTGAATCTAACTGAGAATGTTGTGTTTTTCTTTTTCTGCTGAAATGTTGGTTTTGATATAAACAAGAAAAACAACAAAATTCATGTTGGAAAACACCCCAGAAGCTGACTAATTCATTTCATATTTACAAGAAAAGAAAAATCAAATAGTAATAGTGCTCAGAACAATTTCTTGGTAAGAAGTTTATGATGTTTATATCTTACCTGTGCTACTAAGACCACTACTCCAATAATGCGACATATGGTCATATGCACAGTCAGAAAGTTAATGAACCTCATATCTTGATCGACAACATATTTGGAAATTTTCTGTCACAAGAGAAGGGAGAGATTCAGTGTTGTATGAGAGGAAACAGAAATAAATAATCCTTTGGAAGGTCTATATCAATGGGTGTGAAAGAACATACAGCAAGCACGTTCATCTCGAAGAAGATTTCAACAATGGCCCCGATTTGGAGACATAGAATGAAGAAAACAGATACAATGTACTTGAAATTGGTTAAGGATAAACTAATTAGTGGTTAGATTGCTATATAATTTCTTCTATGGAGGGGGGGATGATTCCAAGTTAATTGAAAAGGATACAATAAAAAGGGTAAAATTACTGGAGTAACTGGCAACAACATGGCCGCAGAGCATGCTGAAGCAAATAACAATGCCAAGCGCTAGGCATGTGTAGATGAACCTGTAGGACAAACAGAGTGAAGTATATATGAGCAAGAGGAGAAACAGAAAGGCCACCACCTATTCACTCAAAACAGAAAACAAGAAAGAAACAATGGAGAGTAGATCGATTTCTTATCAGAACCCCTCTTTTTGCCAAATCTCAGCATATTTTGGATTTGGTGAGAGCCTGACTCTCTTTTCTAAGGCTAACCCACCTCATTGATTGTGAAGAGGAATAAGAAGAAGCAAGCAATTAGGTTACCCACTTCCAGAAATTAGATACCATACCATTTAAAATCCCAAAAACGGGAACTCCAACAATCTAATGAACAATAACAAAAGGCAAATAAAAAATAGGTGGGGATGGAAGAACTACCAGGGGGTGGTAGGAGGTAACGCAGGATTTAGCTGAGATTCTCCTTGGCCCCACCTCTTCAACAACCAGAGAGAGTAGATAATCATAGCGATCCCACAGAAGTTGATCACCAGGTTGACCGTCCTCATTGTGTAGTGCAAGAAGCACCTGGTGCAAGTTATCATTGTTGGATCTGTAACCAGTAATCACTGCTAGGCACTCATAGACGGCAAAGTACGGAGTCTACCTCAACTCAAACCTTCTTCTGGGTGTTGCTCTGCTGCTTAGCTCTCTCATCTTACCTTCTTCACTGACACTAACATGATCCTTATAGCAAGAAGAAATATTTGAATAATTGAGGCTGCTTCAATCTTGAGGGCGAGTGGGGAAAGAAACCTTTGGAAAGTTGGACCGTATGGTTGCATTCTTTCCTCATTGTCAATAGTCAATACCTACCGAAACAAGGCCATGCGAAAGACTGATGGTTAGACGGTTGAAACAGGAGCTCGCATCCTGTGAACCCCTCGGTTCATGGTTGAGACAGAAGCGTGCACCCTCCAATTAGAGGGAAACACGTCTTTTTTTTAATCTAACTAACCAATCAGCAGCCGCATTGCCCTTTAGACTTACAGGTACTCCACCTTTCCTTCAGACTCTCTCGGCCGGTAAACTGCACTCCTCAATAATTCGCTGCATTCTCTAAGGGGAAATCGATGACAAGGATAGAATCTCCCTCGATGATAATGTATCTGTTTGAAAAGTTTAGAGCCACAACATTTAATGCAGTAAACCTAATTTTACTTAGTTTTGGGGTCCAAAATGCAATCCATAAAATCCGTGGCCACCATTGATATAAGTGGCCACCAAATCAAGACTTAACTATTTGATGGATAATGTTTTTCTTTCTTTTAGAGAAAGACTATCAGAGCCAACAATACTCTGAATCTCTAAGAAATTTTGACGAGCTCTTTCGATGATCACAGGAGGGGGCATCCCCCTGTTATTAAAAACTTTATCATTTCGATTTTTCCAAATCTGTCATAACAACAGAGTCATTTTTTCTTTTCTATAAGGGTCAAGGGAGACCCCACTACAACTGGTAGAAAGGCCATTTCACCAATTAGTAATAGATCCCACATTGTTGCTGGGAAGATCCAAATCATCTCGCATAGCAAGCCACACTTGTTTGGAAATAGCACAATTTAAGAAGATATAGTCACAATCTTCTTCTTCCCCACAAAAGGAGCAAGCCCCATCAATATCTAGGCCTTGGAGATTAGCATTTTCTTATAAAAGGAGAAGGGGTTTTCAAAATCCAAATTTTATTAACTCCAATCATATTCTCACTAGGGATTCCATACATCCGGCCAGCTTCATTGTAGGCCGATTTCAAGGAGAAAAAACCCTTTGGGTTGGACCTCCAAACGATTATTGGATGGACCAATAAGACATTGAATTTGGATGGACTGGATGGACCAATATGACATATTGGATTGGACCTGGTCCATCCATAATGAATTTATATTAGATTGAGCCAATATCTGGTCTATTGATAGAAGATAAGAACATAGGTATCAATGGATCAGGCTTGAGTTGAAACCAATCTAAATTAACAGGAATTTGAACAGATTGGACAATGTCTGGACCGTTTCAAAATGGTCCATAATATCCATTGGACTGGATTGGACCAGGTCCATTTGTAATGGACTCACATTGGACTGGACCGGATTGGACCAAATCCAGTCCAATTGACACCCCTAACTATAATTAAATCAGCTTCAAATATGATCCCCTAATATATTATGAAAGCCTTCAAAATTCCCAAAAGTACCATTACAGAAATGGATAAAAGTCAGAGAAATTTTCTTTGGTCAAACAAGAAGGATATGGGGGCTATGCACCTAATAAATTTGACTAAGGTGTGCACTTCAAAACATTGGGGTAATCTTGGCCTAAGAAATCTTGGGTGAGCTAATAAAGCATGCCTGGCTAATTTAGGATGGAAAGTCCTAAATGAAAAGAGAAAATCTTTGGGTTCAGGTTGTGACCCAAAAATATTTAAGAAAAGAAAACTTTTGGGAAGTAAGCCCAAAAGGAAGTCATTCTTGGGCATGGAAAGGTATCATGTCCTCTAGAGGTCTGCTAGGGAGAGGAGTGGGAATAATGATTGGTAATGCATGGAAACTCTACAAGATTTTGGACTGATAAATGGGTTGATGAGGAGCCCCTTCTCAATAGTGTGAATAGAGATACTATCCTCGACTTGGATCTTAGAATTAGTGATGTCATTGTTAAGGACAAAAATATTTGGAATGAGAACCTCATAAAGAACCTTGTTCCTAGTTATACTTGGAAAGTTGGAATAAAATCAAAACTATAATTATTCTGTCTATGGATCAAGAAAATGGATTTTGATTTGGGTGAAGTCCAACCCAAAACCGGTCCATTGACACCCCTGCAAGCTTTCTTTTAGGTTGTGTTTGGTTTGAAGGAAAAGGTAGGAGGGAAACCTACCTTTTCCTTCAAACCAAACATAACCTTAATTCTTTCAATAAGAAAATTGAAAGTATTTTTACAATATCTATTAGCAAAGATAGGGGGGTTCCAAGGTATAATTCTCTCCTATTGCCAATTGGAAATTTAAGGGTCTTTGACATCAATTTTTGAAGCTTGGGGTGGATACTTTTAGAGAAGATAAGACTAGATTTTGTAAAATTTGAACCCTAACCCAAAGCTTTGGAAAAATCCTCAATAATATTTTTAATTGTCAAACAAGCTTAAACATTTGCTTTAGTGAATGTTGTTAATGGTTCCGATTGCACCAAACACTAAAAAGACAAAATGAAAAAAAAAAAAACCTATTTTGAAGGATGTGGAAGCCTTGTGTGAACTCCCCTCACATTCTCTCATTTGAGCCCAAGCCAATGAGTAGACTGTCGGTGATTTCCCTATGCAACCGGCGACCGATGGTGTAGAATCAACCGGTGGCAAGAAATTAATTGGCGGTAAGTTCCATTATTATTAAATTAGGCTACCTTGTATAGGTTTCCCTATGTTTTCCTTTCTTTTCCTACTTTTTTCCTTTAAACCAAACACAGCCTCAGGTCCATCATTAGAATAATCATTTCGGACCCCAAATACTTAGGGTTCAAGCTTTATACGTTCGAACACCATTCGAACATCGAGAGAACAACATGTATTCGTAGGCGCGTGTGCATTTTATATACATGCAAGGATGGTCCCTCGATTCAAAGCATTTTCACTTTACCCTTTCTATTCTCTTCTTTCCCGCGTCCCTCCGGTCTCCACCCAAATCGACCCACCGAACCCCTGGTCTACTATTCTCTCCGGACGATACCGGCAGTGCAGTAAACAAGGATGAAGATCATGCCACCAAAAGCCCAAGCGATGCCAAGGTTGCCAACTCCATCACAATCACCACCGTTGTGGGCCTGGTCAGTCTGGCTTTTGTAACCGATGACCGTCAACAGAGTAATGTAGAGAAACAAAAGAGTGGCAATGAATTCAGCGATGTAGCAGGGGCGGCAAAATCAACTTAATAAACCTTAATTTCTTTTTCCTCATACTCCTAGAATAAATACCCCTTCCCACTTTACTTTCCTCTCACTCACTCCCACTCCCATCCAAGCATAACAACGAGTGCCTTCTCTCTCCTTCTCTCCTCCCTTCCCTTCTTTCCCAGCTCTTGTAAACTTATTGTTTTCGAGCTCTTGCACTCGTTACAGCATGGGAAAGGATGTTGAGGTTGCTGAACACGGTCATTTCTCCGCCAAGGACTACTACGACCCACCTCCGGCGCCTTTGATCGATGCCGTGGAATTGACCAAGTGGTCCTTCTACAGGGCTCTCATTGCTGAATTCATTGCCACACTTTTGTTTCTCTACATTACTGTGTTGATGGTCATCGGTAATGCCTTTTATCTTCACCGGCTGGAGAGCATAGCAGATCAGGGAGGGGTTCGGTGGATCAATTTGGGTGGAGACCGGAGAGACGCGGAAAAGAAGAGAATAGAAAGGATAAAGCGAAAATGTTTTGAATAGAGGGATGGCTAATGGTGTTGTGGTAAACGTCCGTTTACTAATTGCCATTCTCGCACGTACATAGAATGCACACGCGTCCTTCTCTCATAATGTTCGAATGGTGTTCGAACCTATAAAGCTTTGACTGAAGCCGAACCCAAATACTTGCTGCAGACACAATGTGAGGAGCAGATCCGGACCCCAAATACTTGCTGAAGAAACAGTGAAACAGTGAAACAGTGAAACACATCTCTGGGATCAATTTTCAAGTTCATTTTGGGCCGCACGTTAGCTCCACAGTGGGATCCATTCAGATCCATGATATAATATATTTCTTCTTTTCCATATCAAAGTTTCAAACACCATCCGAATCGGATCAACGATCTACCCTTTCCGGGTCCAGATTGGATCTATCCGTAATCGTCAAATTGCCCCTCTTTGAAATCTTTTACTTTTTTAGGCATTTGAACCTTACGGTACACCATCCGAAATCCTTTGACTTGGTAGGTTAATGCGATGGCCCCATTTGGGTTAAGCTTAAAAATACAAAACTGGGTCTCCAATCCACCGGGTTATACCCGTGTGGAGATACAGTGGAATATGGATCTGGATAAGGTTATTGGTGGCGTATTGTAGTCAATCATGAAGAAGGGTGGTTGTCTTACCATTCTTTCGAAAGAGAGACAAGATATATGACACATGATGACTATTAGTTGAATCAAAGCTTTCTAACTCCAATCTACTCAACTAATTGAATCACAAGATCTCTCGGCAGCTGTGGCGGAGACCATTCTAATGCAGCCAATAAAATGATGGAGACATTTCTTGCCCAAGGCAGTGGAGCTAGACAATTAAATGTAGGAGGAAAAACTAGTTTTCCAACGAGAGAGAGGATTCTTAGCCTCACTTCTCATTGTTACTTTTCATCCTCCTGGCTTAGCCTCACTTCTCATTGAACCGGTGCAACTGGTTCATGGATCTGGGCTTCTATACAAGGACATCTTCCTCCTTGCCGGGCAGAGTAACATGGCCGGATTGATTGACATGTCAGAGTATATGGAGCAACATTCTGTTGCCAGATTCACAGATTGATTGGCGCTCCTCCCGAGTAAGTTTTTTTTTTCTAAATTATTAATATTACGCCTATAATAAGAATATTATTATTAATCTTAATAATTAATCATAAAAATAACTAATAATTAATGATAATCGTTAAATAGTTAGTAGTAAACGGTGTTGTTTTGATTATTATTAAACACAAATACTTTAAGTAGTTGGTAGTAATAATCAATACTTTAATCACAACAATAATTAATAATGAATAATAAAAATAAAATAATTAATAATAATAATAATAGTCAATATTATGTAAACTATTATTATGATTAATTATAAAAATAATAATTAATAATTAATGAAGTACATTAACTTTCTTTTCTATGAATTATATTGTTTATGATTATTTCTATAAACTATGCAATTGACTTTGTTTTAGCCATTCTTATTATAGTTTATTTTAGGTTTTTTGTCAAATTGATCGGATCATTATTTTGATTGTTTTAATTTGTTTATAAGTTTCGATTGTTTCATTATTGATTAACAAAACCCGTGTATCACACAGGTTCTTGCTAGTTATATATACAATAGAAAGAAGATTGTGTGGGGGCAAAGGTGGAGTCTAGTCTCTAATGTATAATTTTTTTGTCATCACCTTTTACACTATCTCCTATCCATTACATTTTTATTAAAACACACATCGGTCTGTTACGGTTCCATTGGTCTTTCTATTGCAAAATCAAAACACCCAGTGCTTCTGATATTTACAATGGAGAGAGCATTCATCTAAGTTTTGCTATTAAGAGAGAGGCATGCATGAAGGTAGGAATGATATTGACCTTCACTTGAGGTAGGAACTGGAGACGTGAGTAATGAGCATGACTTCAGTGGTGATATTGGGTCATTAAATTGAAATGAATGTAGGGATAGAAGCCAAAATAGACATTGAGAATGATGATGGATGATGTGGGGTGTTGGAGAGGGATGGCCTTCATTTGCTGTATGTTGATTTGGCGTCATGCATATTAGTATGGAAAGAGCAGCAGTAAAGAGCACAGACATTGAAAATGATGATAATGTGGGGTGTTGGAGAGGGATGATTGGATCATCAGATTGATCTGATGAAGGTAGGGATAGAAGCCAAAATAAACATTGAGAATGATGATAATGGGGTGTTGGAGAGGGATGATTGGGTCATCAGATTGATCTKATGAAGGTAGGGATAGAAGCCAAAATAAACATTGAGAATGATGATAATGGGGTGTTGGAGAGGGATGATTGGGTCATTAGATTGATCTGATGAAGGTAGGGATAGAAGCCAAAATAAACATTGAGAATGATGATAATGGGGTGTTGGAGAGGGATGGCCTTAATTCTTCTGTTGTATGTTGATTTGGCATCATCATTGAGAATTAATGATGATAATGTGTGGTACTGGTGGTAATTGGGCGGGTTGGGTTGGGTTTGGTTTTGGTTGAATTTCAACCCAATCTATTTAACCCGCCAACCCGTTAATGATTCAGTTATATAAAATTAAATGGGTTGGGTTCAACCCAAACCTGCTTTAATCCAATCCAATCCGTTCAAACCCATTAATCTTATATTTATGTACTTAAAAAAAAAAAAAAACTAACTCTTTTTTAACAAATAAGTTAGTCATAGCTTAGTGGTAATAATAGTTGTTATTTACACAAGTGGTGAAGGTTCAAATCACATTACATGCATGTTATTTTTATACAAGTTATGTTCGGGTTTCGGGTTTGACGAACCACATAGGTTCAAACCAGTCAGACCAACTTGAACTATCTAATTGGATTGTCTTCAAGGTAATCACATCAAGTTCAAGAGTGGTTGAACCATTTAGATCCGAATCAGTCCGGTCGAACTACACCCCGCCCGAACCAGTTCAGTTCGATCGGACCAAACCCAATCGGTTCAGTTCAGGTAGGCCAGACCCCGAGCGGGCCTGTTCAATCCGGTCGGACCAGACCAGACCAGTTCAGCCAAATGGTGGATTGACTTGGGTCGGCTCATATCAGGTTAGTGCATGGATTTGGGGCCGAACTGATTGGGCAAAGCAAGCGGGGCGGTTTAGGGTTCAGACCCCCCACCCGGTCCGACCCGGATCAGTTTGTACCGGATCAAACCGGGCTGTGTGAATAATGGTGGGACCAGACGACTCAAACCGGGCAAAGCAAGCAGAGCCATCCCATCTAAGATCGATTTCGGATTGGAGTCGACCCAGATTGGTATATATTGGATCGGGTCTGACCTGATAAGCACTGATTACATGGTTGGCGATTGCAATCTACACCTTTTTTATCATCTCACTATGCTTGATCTACACCACCGACATTTGCCTAACTTCATCACGATCGAGTATATAGAATTAAACCAGCCGGACTTTGGAAACCTACTGGGAGCATGGAAATCGCATATCTATGGTGACAGATCATGTGAAAATTCAGGAAAAAATCTAAAGGGATAAGGAATTAGGGTTTGAAATAAATAAAAAAACTGTTCAAATAGAATTTGTATGCAGAATGTTACTTGAGTTTTAATAGCTTTTTTTTTCAGCTTTTGAAGAGACGAAAGCTTTGATCCCCACCCCTCTTTCTCTCCCCACAAACACTTGGGTATAGTCCTCTTAGAGAAGAGAGACTACGGGAGTCTATTGCAATCTGTACCTACATGCTTAAAGGGGTGTTTATATTGGAGATTTAATAATGAACTTACATAAAAGAAAAAAAAAACAATAAATTAACCAGTAGGTCACAACTCACAAGTGCTTCAAGTATGTTTTATCTCAACTTTGTCTTTGGGTATGATGTGAACCCAAGGTGATGTTGTTTCTTGGTGAATGGTGAATGGTGAAGTTACAGCCTATTCTTGGTTTATTTCAGTGGTGTGGCGCCTGCCTGTCATTGCCATTCTTGGTCTTAAATCTGTGGTGACCATGATAGAAGAATTACGTTTATAGAAAAGATTAGAAAAAAGTTACACAAAGGGTTTAACAGTAAAGGGTGGGAACTGAAAAGTCAAAGGCCAAAGATGGAAGAAACGAAGGAATAGGATAAGAAGTTTTAGTATGGTACGCCGGTGGCTATACCTGCTTTTGATGAGGGCAATTAATTAGGGTTTAATTATTCTCTACTATATATAATTTCTAAAATATGATTTTAATTGAAAAAGGTAAAAATTTAAATATATTAAGCAGGATAGTAGATAGTGGATAGGGAGTAAAAGGATTTAGGCTGCCTTTGGAAACGATGCAAATGGAGTGTAATTCCTGGTTCAATGTAAATTTATACTCTTGTTCATTTTTGCCTGTGTTTGACAATATTATATTTATGGTTTATGCATTGAGAAATGACAAAAAATACATTTTTCAATGCATATTTACATTGATAATAGGGAGAATGACCGATCAGCCTGGCTCAGAATTCTTTAGGCCCACCATACAGGGGGGATGAATCCTGACTGTAGATTGATACCAAATCCACAGGCAGGATGCGATTTATAGGGAGACTACTTGTAGACTATGGGGGGCTGTAATTCAAAATTCTGCAATGAACTGCAAATGTAAAAATACATTATTACAAAAGGAGTAAATTTGCATTTAAGTGGACTTTTGATAAAAAAAAAAGGCATATATTCTATTGGAATTGGTGTTTGCATCCATTACAACTAAAACTCTGTTTGATAAGAAAATAAATTTGTCAATGCAAAACTAACCCAACTTTATAATTTATATGAACCATTTTACACTCCACATATTTGTATTGTTCCCAAATGCAGCCTAAGGGATTTTATAGGGGATGTATCAAATTATCAATATTTACGATATGGACCAATACTTTGATTAAGTATTGGTAAGCATCAAAAAATCAAATTGATACATGGCCGGTACTATGTTGATATTGCAGATACAAGTGGATCTGCACAAAAGCTGCGCAATTCCACCCATGCAATGTACACACAATGTCAAATTTCAATGCATATCAGCTGATACGCATCCATATTTTAGATATTGGTTCTTTTAAGCCACCCCTATTGTTAATTAAAATTAGCATTAACTAAGCATGTATATAGATAGATCAATAGATATATATTTTAATCCTTCTACAATTTCCCATCACTTTCCAATTATATCTAAAATTATTATACATTTTTTTTTCAAGAATGAAACCTAGACAGGACACAATTTGTGAGAGGCCTTCCCTTTCGTTCAATTTTTTCTTATTGAAATATCAATATATTGTTATAATGAAGCTAGCGCATGTGGAGAAAATCCAATTCACAAATCACTGTTCCCATGCCCAAGATACACTTGGGAAATGTTGAAAAAATGATAGAAATAAAGCATACATGCATATCTTAGAAAAACCGATATAATTCTTACTAAACTTTTAGAATGTTGGCTTTAATAACCATAAATTTTTGAAATTTTTTGGTAGATAGAGACTAAAAGAGAATCTCTCAAAAGTTTAAATTTAGAACATATGTGATTATGACAATTTTTTTCTTTCAAGTAAAGAGATTATGACAAGTTATTAAAGCATAATGTAGTGATGGGTTTGTTTCCTACCAAAAGGCTCGTGTTCAAATCTTCTCACCTGCAATACTACGATTAGTGTCGACTAAACACTACAATGAAAAAAGAAAAAAAAACAGTATTGCCAACAAAATGCAGTGAATCATAATACCTCACAATCATTTAACTCCTAAGTGTTCGTCATAAATACAAAGGAGTTAGCAACTAATATGGTGATCCCAACGAAAATTGACAGCTCTCAAATAAAGAAAAAGTACAAGAAAGTTAATTTCTAAGCCCACCTGACTACACCAACTCAAAGTCATAGAAGATAAAGGCCAAAAAGAACAAATAACGGTTTTTTTTTATTTTTTCATTAGAGGAGAACAAAAAGAAAAGCAACAAAAAAAAAAAATCCTCTTCCTACACGCCGAAAGAAGCCCATATGGGGTGAACAGTGATCAGATCTTCGAACCAATGGGATAATGAATCTCCATATTAGTTAAGACTTATTCCAATTTTGCTCTGTCCATTTCATTGATCGTTTCTTCAAGCTGTGGAGATATATGAGCATCAACAACATGACAAAGCATAAGCATGTCTTCAAAAAGCAGTGTTTGAGCACAGTAACAGCGAGTGAAAAGCTTAAACAGACTTACCTTGACAATCTGACGCAAGAAGTAATCACCATACCGCTTTGCTGACTTGGACTCCACAACATATATCATGTCCTACATTAATAGATATATGAATTCCATGAACAGTTCCCCATGATGATTCGTGCAATACTAGCATAGCATAACTCAGGAGGGGCACAACTATCAAATTAAGTATTAATTAGTTTAGCTTCTGAACTTTTTTGCTTCATGGGCGTGCCTGTGTAGCTGGTAATGTCTTCAACCCATTGTTGACCCAGTAGCTGGTCAGACCAGTGACCCGGTTACAATACTGGTTTGGGTCAAGCTCCAACTTGCCATTTACAAAATACCATTGACTTGGTCAATTTGACCCACTTTGTTAAACAGTTGACCTGTCTGCCCATTCAGTGGGATATTGGGTGCTTGTAATATGTTGTTTTTCTTCCTTTGAAAATCTCTTTATGTTGACTCATTTTTAATGAATCATCAATCATTATGAGTTGACTCATTGACCCAGATGATTGAAACACTAACCCATTGACCCAGAGAGGAGAATGGTTCAAGCTAGGTGTGATCATGGCCCAAGTCCAGGCCAGGTTCCGAGCCAATCACTTTAAATATAAAAATATATAATATAATGTTTTATAGTACATGACATAATATATGTTCAAAAAATTTATGTTATACATTATATATAATGTATTGCAAGTGTCATATTATAAGATTTTTATATGTGATACAAAATATAAGATACATTAACACACACACACACACGTGAGAAGGCTAGGCCTGGACACAACCTAGGCCAAAGCCCAGATATTTCTAGACTGGGCCACGCCAGGCTATAAAGGATTACCCCTAATTCAAGCTCTGGGTTGGTGTTTAAAACACTATTGCTGCAAAATCATGCTTACATAAAGGAAAGACGTTATTACATCAACACAACACAATAGATCAATGCAGTTCATGATCCTTGGGTTCCATGGCTTTCAGATACTAAACCAAAGCTTAGGCTATGTTTGGTTTGAAGGAAAAGGTTAGGAAAGGAAGGGAAAGCTTAAGGTAAGTGGTATATAATGTCAAAAGTAAAAGATTTTATTAAAGAGGATGGAAGTTGGAATATGGAAAGTATGGAACTTTTCTTTGAGGGATCTTCAGTGAGGGCCATTGTTAACATTCCTTTGAGTGGGATGGAAAGGGAGGACAGGCTTCTCTGGAAGCATACCTCGAACAGTGAGTTCACTGTTCGATCAGCCTACAGACAGTTAAGCAGACCAGCTTGTGAATCATCCAATTCACAGGTCATATGGAGTAAAATCTGGGAGCTGAAAGTCCCTTGCAGATGCCAAATCATAGTTTGGAAATACTATTTACGAGCAGTCAAAACAAAAACAGCTTGTTGGGTCAGAAGGTCAAATGGAGTAAAATCTGGGAGCTGAAAGTCCCTTACAGATGCCAAATCATAGTTTGGAAATACTATTTACGGGCAGTCAAAACAAAAACAGCTTGTTGGGTCAGAAGGAGAGAGGAGGATACAAAATGTACTTTTTGTAATATAGCTCCTGAATCACAAGAACACCTCTTCTTCAAATGTAGGTTCTCTAAAGCAGTTTGGATTCAAGCCCAGGTGGGCCTAAATCCAGATTTATATCGAGCATCAAATAACCCAGATTTGTTGCACTGGTGGGATACACATAATCCTATATCAGGGCCAATGAGAAAAATTTTTGAAGGAAGACTGGTGTCTATCCTAAGGAGTTTATGGGATGAGAGGAACGAAATGTTGTTTAGAAAGAAAAAGCGAGACCCAATGGATGTTGGTAGAAGAGTAGACAGCTACTTCCTGCTGCCCTCTCAAAACAATGAACATGTTCAATCTGTTCAAATTCAGTCGGAACCACAATTCAGATGGTTTCACAGTGATTAGAAGCCATTTGTGATAGTGGATGGCTCTTGGCACTCAAACACACAAAGCAGTTACAGGTTCGATAATTGTTTCACCTCTGATGAATAATTTTTTGCAGAAGGACAACCTTGCATGGCAAGCTCCTCAATCGAAGCTTGTGAAAGACAGAGTAGTCCTGGACTGGAAACCTCCTCAATCAAACAGAATAAAGCTTAATTTTGATGGAAGCTCTTTAGGAAATCCTGGGCTGTCAGGAATAGGAGTTTTTAGGAATGAAGCAGGGAAAGTGGTAACATTATTCTCAGGACCGATAGGAGTAGGGGATTCGGCAAGAGCAGAAATATTGGCCTTACTTCAAGGCCTGAAACTAGCAAAACAGTGGGGTTTAAAGAACATAGAAATAGAAGGTTATTCAAAATTAGTAATTTCCTGGATGGATGACAACAATCTAGGTGTGTGGAAGTTCAGACATCTAATAAGAGAAATAAAGAACTTAGCTAAGGATCTTGAGGCAAGCTTCAAATGGGTAAAGAGAATAGCAAATGGGATGGCCAACACATTCGCAAAGTAAGGTGTACATAGGCATCAACTATTCTGGGCAGGCATTGGATAACCTTGTAAATTGGAAAAAGGTGTTCCTCAATTTTTAATCTGATCTGAATCTGTAAACTCTTTACTCATAATGAAGTGAAATACCCTTGAATACTAATAAAAAAAGCACCTCAATCGAAGCTGAATACTGGGCAGTAATCAGAGGATTGAGAGAACCTATTTTGACAGGAAACACAAGTGCTATCTTATTTTCTGATGCTAAAGCAGTGTTGGCCAAGTTGAAAGGAACCCAGGAAACAATTACGTGGAGAGAAAGACCCCTTTTGGATCATATACATTATCTTATCAGTCTTTTTGTGAATATATTTGTAACCTATGTAGATAGAGAAATGTGGTAGTTATTCCCCATAGGCTAACAAAGCAAGCTAGACTGTTAAACTCAGTGGTTACTTATGTACATCCCCCCCCATCTTTTTTGTATCTTTGGCTAACTGTAGGAGAGGTCAGCAGATGTATCCTTGATGTTTTTTAGTGGCTCCTTCCTTTGACTAAAAATAAAAATAAAAAAAACAGCAAGGTTGAATGCATAGAAATAAGTGCATACATCGTTAATGTAGAAGTCCACATCAGCATTGGAGAAAATCTTTCCTTCACTGTCTACAGCATGTGTCTTGTGCTTGTAGGTCATTAAGATTGTCCTGCAAATTTGCAAACCACAATAGTATAGCTTAGAATATCATAAAAATAGTGAAAATAATAGAATAGGTGTAACAGAATTTTTCACCCAATACCAACCTTAAAGTAGGTTCATCTACTTCCATGTAAGTTGCAAGTTTCCCAATTGAGATGGTAGAGTACAACTTCAAGAAGGTCCGAATACCTGACAATAATTGTTGTTGCTTGACTTCATAAAGGAACAGCTTCAACTGTAACCTATAAGCATCCTGCAAACAAAGAAGAAAATGCCATTTATAATAGATGATTATTTGGATGGAACAAGAAAATGGTACTCTAGTTTTTTTTTTTATCAGCAAAATGGTACTCTAGTTTTTTTATCAGAAAAACGGTACCCTAGCTATCAACTAAGTCTCAACAATAAAAATGATCGGATAGGCCTCTAGTAATCACCCTATCCAAACCCTGGTAACCACAAGGATCTGCCAGTGGTTGGGGTTTAAATAAATTCAAAATCAAATCAAACATCTGCATCAATGTACATGCAGCATACTTTACTAAAAATAAAAAACAACCTCAACCTCACTAATAAGGGTAATTACCCAATATTGGTAATGGCTATATACCTAGTCTTGGGAGCAATAAGCATAAAATAGTCATTTTCAAAAAGCAGACTCATTATCTAGCTGTTTAATTCAGTGTTGTTGCTAACTTATGTACTACACCAAACCATCCTACACTGCTGACTACAGGGATGTGCCAGTTGTTGAGTCGAGAAAAGATTTCAATCTGAAAAACTCATGACCAATTGACCATAGTTGGCAAGACAAGTTAAAGAATCAATTTAGAAGTTTGGTAGCTTAGAAGATTAAAAATCAATTTGTCTAGAAATTTAGAGAAAACAGTTGTGTTGGATACCAAATTGAGGGCAATAAACCCATGATGTTAAGCAATAATGTTTATAAGAACTAAAGGCAGAGATGCCAGGGAGCCATAATAATAGGAATTTAATGCAATATACTATAAAATCTGGCTCCAAGGAACTCAACCGAGCAGCTGCATTTGTATGATACAAGCAATTATGTCAAGAACTGTAATATTTATATCACAACAGCAGAACAAAGAAATTGATAGCATAATGATCTAACCAATAAATCAGCAAGTTGAAGGAATCCATGTTGAGAAAAGGTTACATAAGGTAGTACCTGGTTGTAATTTACAAGAGGCTCCTCATAAATAGGAGCTGATGGGGTTATGAATTTCGGACATGCATATGAAAAAAGCTCATCATAGAGAGCAAATGCCTCCTCATCGTATCTCTGCATCCTAAGCATTTTCTCACCATACTTCTCCCTCAATTGATTGTTTACATTTTCCTCAACAAGCTTTACTTGCGGACAGAGAGAAAGACATATTGCCAGCAAGGCATACATCTGTTCATTCTTCTTTAATATCTGCTCATATTGTGGAGATTTCTGATGGTATTGCTTGGTCTTATAAATGTACAAGAGAATTTTATTAAATTCACGTATTGCATCCACATACCTGTGAAACACTAATAAATAAGTTAGTGCTAGATCAACAAGAAAAATAGTGTTGATGATGATGACGATAGAGGATGTTGAATTGCTGATGATGATGATAATGAAATAAACTGATAAAAGTATTCATCACATCGAAAAACATCCAATGGGTAAAAGGAATCTCGAACCTTTTATAGTCTAATTAATGTTTCAAAAGTGGAACCAGGGCTTCCAGAACAAATAGATCATTAAGATGGATTCCAAGGTCAGTCAACCTCACTACTGATAACTAATGTTTTAAAATGCACAAGGAGAATACACCGGGAGGCGTGCCTGCAGGCAAGTTGTTCAAAAAGCGCCCTGAGGCATGGATAGGGTGCGAACCAGGTTGCACCCTTAGGTGTGGATGCCTCAAACACTTGCATGAGACATATACCTCTGGCACCTCATCTGCACCTCAAGAAAAAAAGAAAATAAAAAAAAACGAAAAGAAAGAAGATAACATCTCCTTCCTCTTTTTGAGGAGGCTCGGGCCTCCTTGCGCTGTGGAGGCTCACAGCTCTTGCATTCTGAACCACACACCTGATGCCTTCATGTAGTGGAATACCTTGCATCATGCCTATGCATGGGAATGCAATATTTTTCTCTTGTTGTCATCTACATTTAATCTTCCAGCCAATAAAAGGGGGAGTGAAGTGGATGGGTGAACCGATCACACCATGATCAAGTTATCTTTCAACATTTTTTTTTGTTTTTTTTTTTTTTTTTGAGAAGGTAAGGTAAAAATTTTATTGATAAAAAATGAAAAAGTTACAACTACTTCCTGAAGCCCCATACCTTGTAAGAGGGCAAATTACAGACTCCGAATAGACTGAGTACAAAGCAGCTGAAATACATTCTGACATTTAAACTCAGGGGAGACAGACAACCAGGAAACAAGTTTAGACACGGCAGTCTGAATTAAGTCCTCCAAACTTCTCACTTTGTTGCAGAAAATCCTGTTGTTTCTTTCAGTACATAAGGCCACCAAAACAGCCACAAGGATGGTTCTCCAGATCAGATTACCTTTCCTCTTCAGGCCAGGTAGTTTCCAGCAGCATAAAAGATCCTTGACAGATCCAGGCATGACCCAACAGACCCCAGCCGCCTTGAGAAAGTGCTCCCAAACTCATGCAGAGGTCGAGCAGTGGGTGCCCAGGTGATCAGCTGTCTCTGGCAAGAGCCCACATATGCCACAATTTAGATCTGAAACCTGGACCCCTCTCCTAACCAAATTAGTCCTCAACAAGCACTTATTAAGGGTCATCACCCAAAGCAGAAAATTATGTTTAGATGGGCTGACAGTGTTCCACACCTGCTTACTTGGGAAATCAGATGTGTCTGATCTACTCAGTTTTGAAGCCAAGGATTTAACAGTAAAAACACCATCCACACTCCATCTCCACCTCCATTCATCCTCCAGATTAACTGATATAGCTTGCCTCTGTAACAGTTGCAGAAGATCCAAGAGTTGATCGATCTACCAATCAAAAAGGTTTCGTCTGAAGAGCGGGCACCAAGAGATTGATTCCCCAACCACCTCATAAGAATCAGCAACTGAGACTTCAGGGCTTTGGGCACATTGAAAAAGTAGAGGATAAGCTTCAGCAAGGGGAATGCCTAAACACCAGAAGTCCTTCCAAAATTTCAACCTATCTCCCCTACCAATCTTGAGAGGTAGGCCATCAGAGAAAACCAGAAAGTATTTCATGATACTTTCCAAAGAAAGCACCCCCCAGTTCTGAAAAGGATCCAAGGATTTCCAATGGCCCCAGTACACCCCAGATGCAAATTAAGGTCCTCCACCAGGTAGTCCTCTCCACACCAAACCTCCAAAGCCATTTGCTGAGAAGAGAAGAGTTAAAAGCCTTCAACTTCCTTATTCCCAAGCCTCCATCCTCCATGGGGAGGCAAACCTGATCCCACTTAACAAGATGGATTTTTCTTTCTTCCTCCCAGCCTCTCCACAGAAAATTCCTCTGATGGGACTCCAACTTCCTTGCTATTTTAGAAGGGATGGGAAAGAGAGATAAAAAATAAGTGGGAAGGTTAGAAAGAGTACCCTCTGCCAACTCATCCAAACAGTCAACTTGGCCAACTGGAAATAAAACACTCTTCCCCAAGTTTACTTTGAGTCCAGATGCCACTTGAAACCAGCTTAGGATCACAAGCATACTCTCCAACTGATCCCGCGAAGCATCAATAAAACACAAAGTATCATCCGCAAACTGTAACATGTGCACCTCCCCCCCCTGGTTGATTTCAAAGCCCTCCCACTGACCATCAGAAACAACCACCTTACTGAACTGAAACAGCACCTCCATAAGACATATAAAGAGCAAGGGAGAACCTCTGAACTATCGTATCCTAAAGCTTTGAGCTACCCATTTCAAAATACAGGTTGGCATATATAGTTGAAATTGACCTGTAAACAGGTCATACTTGGTTTGGACTAACCTTTGAACCATCATATCCTAAAGCCACTGAAAAGTCGATACATACAAATTGTAACTGCCAAAAACATAAGAACTGTTCTATAAAGTGTTGCTAATTTGGAAAGGCAACAATCAATCATTTTGGCCTCCTAATGCTATGCATTGACTAGTTGGTGCCAACAGATTTTTTTTAGAGCGTCAAGTATAATTGTATTAATTTAAAAGTACAAGTAAAAGATCCCTTGTTCTAAGAGCATCTGTACAAGTATAACCAGGAGAACCTCAAAAAAAAGTTCACTTTCAAAAATGGAGCAGTCAAGAACATCATCTTTGAAAGCATGATGTACAGACAACCAGCTCCTAATGGCATCTAAAAGCATGATTAATGACTTCGACTGGAGAAGAAACTGTGTTCTTGAATATTTTGTTGTGCCTCACTCCATAAGGCCCAGAAAACTGCCTAAGGAATACATGACCAACAAGCTTTCACCTTCTTGGATATGCCAGAAATGTACCATTCTTCCAGAAGACCTTTCACTGAAGCAGGCATTCACAAACTCAGGTTTAGGGCCTTTAAAAAGTGATTCTGCACTTCTGTGCTAAAATTACAATGTATAAAACAGGTGGTTAGAAGACTCAACTTCCACATTGCAGAAACAGAAACTCAAATCATTGCAGATAAAACTCTTAGCAATTCTTTGGATAGACATCTGTCCCAGGTTGCTACCGAAACAAAAAACTTGTTTTTTGGAGGAGCCACTGTCCCCCAAATGGCCTTGCTAGGAAAAGAGAGCATTTGATCTCCCACAAGATTATTATAAAGAGACTTAACAGAAAAGTTGCCCAACTTGTTCCATTTCCAAAATCTAGCATCTTGAGCTCACAAGTCTAAATGCTGGTTTTGTAGCAAGTTAAGAAAGCCTGCTACCCATTGAAGCTCCAAATGGTTAAAACTTCTGAAGGAAGGAATCCAGCAGGTGCTGTTACCATCTTGTGTGAAAGAATCTGGCTACCAGGACTTCCTTGTCAACTGCTAGACTGAACAAAGCTGGAAAAAAATCTTTTAAGGTTCTCTCTCCTGTCCAGGGATCGAACCAGAATGTTAGTCTTCTCCCATTTCCAAGCTTGTAACAAATTCCCCTGCAAAGAGCGAGAAATCTTTGCAAATTCCTTTCCAAACACCACATCCATAAGAGGCTTGGGGAAAACCTGCATCCCATCCATTGCTCCTTAGACCATATTTCTCTGCTGTTGTTTTCCTCCACACTCCACAGATTATCTGGTTCAGAAGAGAACCTCCAGAACCAACTACACAATAAAGCAAGATTGGAGACAACAGATTTTGACTAGTCCACCAAAAAAATATGTGCAAAAGTCAAGACAATGAAGTAATCTCATATTAAGATGCCAGTTAACCCTCTGACCCTCATATCACAGGCAAACACATCACAGGTTTTAACCAGTCAGTGGATGATACAATTGGTATGGTCCTCAACTACTAGTCAGTCGGCTGGTCATTAATTAGTCATTGCTTTGATAGTGTAGGTTTAACAGTTTAAAGAATTCATCTTTATAATACCCATATCTCTTTTTTTATTTAAATTGTACAGTAAGGAGAAAAAATAAGAGATTGCTCAAGAAAGATTGGAAATAAGAGGAAGGTGAGGGACAGAAGAGAAGGGTGAGAAAGAGAAGGAATGACAAATGGAGGGGAAGCCTTTCCATTAGACAAGCTTTGATTTGATGGTGAGCTCTATGGTAAAGAAATAGATTAATCAATCTACCTCCCCCCAACTCCTTTCATCAGTCCTTGGTTCACCCAAGCCATTTCCTATAGTTTTTGAGTTCCTAAGCAGCTACATTGTTGAAGAGGAAGAAATGGTCGGAAAAGAAATGGGTTGAAAACCCAAAAATTCCTAAACTTGAGCAGACATATTTACTCTCTATTTACAGGTACAAAAAAGGAATAAAACAAAGAAACAAAATATATGTAGATTAGAATATTCTGGTTTAACCCTGTTAGTTTTTGAGAGAAGTATAATAACATTAATGAGAAAAAACATGAACAACAAGCTGTTGTACACAGAATTTTACAATCACAGTCCATGCAGTCCTACACCCTCCAACCCTGCTAAACAAAAGGATTATCATACAAATCAATCCTTAAACACTTTGCTCACAGAAATCCAAGAAAACATTTTTCTCAAAATTTTCTGAAACACCAAGCCAGTAGAGCTACTTTTGTGCTTGAATATCCCTGCATTTCCCTCCTGCCAAATGCACCCAAAAAAAATGCTGCAGGAGCCATATTCTATGCCAACTTTCCCTCTTGGATAATACTCCAACTCTCCAGACTTTTAGAAAATTCATCACCAATACTGCCAACAACTCTTCACCAAAAACAAACTCCAGATTTTTTATCATATCTCGGCAGAAAACCTACAATGCAGCAGCAGATGATTTATTGATTCAGTTTGTTCCTCACGGAGGACACAATTTGTGGAAGAAATTTGTATACCCTTCCTTACCAAATTACCACAAGTTACAATTCAGTTCAAGTAGGGATTCCAAACAAAAAAGGCTACCTTTGTAGGTACGCTCTTGCACCAAACAATCTTAACCAGGATTGGTCGTTCCTCCAACCTAGAAATAAAGTTGACCTGGTTTAACCCTGTTATATGTTTCCTTATTTTTCCTATTTCCCATCAATTGTTGGCTGACTCTTAATTAGGTTTAGAGAAAAGTCCAAGTAGGTTCAGAAAAATCCCAACCTTCTAGGAAACTATGATACCAGGGTAGCTGTTCAAGGCTACAAGGATGTTGAATTGTATAGGATACCTGGAATATTTGTGCAAATTTCATTTCCTACACCATATCCAACCAGCGCCCTTGCCATATCTGGGTAACATAGCTAGGAATTAATTTTTTTCCCCCAAAATAATTGTAAAACAGTATGTGAGTTCACAACCACAAGGAATGTTCCATGGAAGATGAATTCTAGATGGGGTTCTCATTGTAAATTTGTAAATTTAATCAAGAAGGATGGTTTACACAGTGTCCTATGAAAAGTTTATATGGAGAAGACATATAATCACTTGCATTGAGGTTTTCTTCAGTATGCATCAACGATCAGTTTTGGAAGCAAATGGAGGAAATAAATTCAAGTAAGCACCCAGACAAAGAAGTTATCAATTCTAATAAATAGTGCAGCCTATTTATATTTCAAAAGCTTGAAAGGACTTTGACAAGGAAACCTATTTCTCCCTGCTATTTATGTATGTAACAGTACCACTGTAACTAGCTCTTGCGAGATTAACCAATAAACATAAAGAACATGTCAAAATTCAACCAACCTGAGGTCCTGAAAAATGACACAAATAAAGTAAGTCAGATGCAACTCACCTTCGCAACATGAGGTTGGCAAATCCATAATGATATATGGTAGTAATATGGCTTCCAATAACACTGGTGTAAACACCTGATTGACTGATGTCAATGGGAAGTAAACACTTCAAACCAGTGTGATAATCACCCAGAAGACAATGAACTCGCAGCAATCCGATCATGCTAAAATAACCCAGCACCTTCAAAACATTACTCCCACCACTGTAGTCATACCCATCAGTAGCAGTGAATTGTTCCAAACCCTCTTTCTCCTGCTCCAAGATCTGGATGATCATGGACTTCTCCACAAGTGCTTGCAAGTAATTGAGCACACCATAAACATTCCATGCCTGTTAAAAACCACTAATTAGTACGGTCAATCGTCAATGAATAGTTGGTATTCTCACAACTTGGACTTCGTCTATTTACTTAACTGGTAGAGTAAAGCAATAAGCATATTACATGCATTTTCAAGCATTCACTCATGCACATTGGCAAAAACTGAATTACCCAAACCACCAGCACTAACGTGCCACTTAGATGAGACAGAAAGAAGAAAGACAAGAAATTGAACTCGTAATAATCAATCAGAAACAGGTGGAGAAAGTATATATTCTCCTAATGACCAAAAAAATCACATAAAAATGCTTAGAAACGCAAATTAAAATTCATCTACAAGCGAGGGAGTGTTCGCCAACGTGAATGTTTTTTTCTAAAACAAGAACAACTGCTATGTCAGCAAAAAGAATACATTTTTGCTAATGTGGTAATTGTTTTTGTTTTAGAAAGCAAACTCGTTCACATTGGCGAACACCCCCTGAACCACTAAATTAAATGTATTTTCGTTAAAAAAAAAGTCCTCGTAATAATTAAATATACTCCAACTCACTAAACAAATAAGAACTACGAAAATAGAACTGTATACAAAAAATTATCAACAACTCAGTGCCACTTCAACCAAAAAACATCAAAATATAGAACAAAGAAAAAAAGAGAAAAGGACTAATTTTAATTTTCTATTCTAAGTCAGTCCAAGTGAACTAGCACCTGATCGTACTGTCTGAGAAGAGCAATCTCCTGCTCAGTCTTGTTCTTCATCTTTGCTCTGTACTGGCAATATGACTGGAACTGATAAACAAACTCATCGACCATATCCCACAGCCACTGATTCGGCAACTGCATATTCACCACCCCATGTAACACCACCTGAAATAGACTGCAGTAGTTGTCCCACGAATCGATCCTCTGCTTAGGCGTTGGTGCCAACCTCGCGTAAAGATGCCGAAACCACATCTCCTGATACAATAAGCAGAAGACGTGATCATTATCGACGTACGGGGCCACCGCATCGACCGACGGCCATGGGCTCTCCTTGAACATCCGATCGCTTAACTTCTGAAACGAACCTTCGTACATCTGATGAATCTCGTACACATTCTTTTCTCTAATGTGCCTGTACAGGTGAACGACGAAGGTCTTCACTGCGTCCGGAACAAAGTTCGGGTCGTAACCCAGGTCCTGCGGCTGCTGCCTGTAACCTCCGCCCATGTCCTCATACCCAACCCCGTCATCGAAATCGTACGAGGTCGCCATGACTGCTCCTGTAACAGAAAAATTAGGGCTCTAACTCCTGTAGCAGTTGAAGCAGTCTCAGTCACCGAATCGAAGAAGAAGAAGATAGGGCTTTCGTTTCTTGAAGAAACTAAAACCCCAAGGCCCGAGGGAAGGGAGAAAGAAAGTCAGAACTTTTGTCTTGCCCTAAAAATAATGTCTCGCAGATCAAACAGGTAATGGGCCTAGGTCTGATCATTGGGCTGGGCCGGGCTGGGTTTGTAAGTGCAACAACTAATAAGAGTGTTTGGAGGTGCCCGTGACTGGCCCAGGCCCGAAAATTTATGTCCGGGCCGGGCCAAGCAGAACATTTCGGTTGCCTACACAAAGGAGTGGTTGTTTATTTAAAATGTGGTCATATAAAAATTAATCAAATTATGAAATTTTTGGGGTTCAAAAAACTGTTTATTTTAAATCATTTAATTTTATTGTAAAACAATATACCGAACTAAAATTTCAATTAAAAATCCTGCGTTATCTCATTAATATTCTTTGGGATAAATAACTCAATTTATTCATACTTGTTAAAGAAAGGATACAAGAGAGAGCTCTTTAAAATTCTAAGTTGGAGATGAACATGTCAAATGTACAAACATTTTTTTACAATTTTAAAACAAAAATAATAACTAAAAAAACTACAAGTATCGGCCAAATCGCCAATACAAGGTTGAGTAAATAGGCATGGGGATAGACTAAAATGTTGTAGATGTGAAATTCAACACAACCAAGTTGTTGCTTCCCCGTTTGTATCCGATCACCGGTCTACAACAGTTAAAAAACTAATGAACTCGCTTTAAGTATATGGTTGTAGATCTCTTTTAACACCTACAATACAAGACCGAGCACATATTTAAGCCTAATGCCCCTAACTAATCGCCAAATCACAAGTCTAAGCCTAGGATATATATATATATATATAAACAATAGAATGATTAATGAAACTTAAAAAAAAAAGGTTTCATATATATATATATATATATATATATATATATGTATATAAACAATAGAATGATTAATCAAAATTCCATAAACCATGGTGTATTCATTCTATATCTCTCTTTCCTTCCATCCATTCTTCCCCATCACAAAACATATAGATTACAAAATCACACTTCTTTTTGTTTGCCATCTCCATATACCCTTCCCTAGACCTGTTCATGGGCCGGGTGGCGGCCCCCGGACGGGCTTGAACAGGTATATGGGCCCGCGGGCTTAACCTCGGGCCAAAAAGCCCGGCCTGTAATAAATTCGAGTTGGTCTCAGGATTTGCCAAAATAGCCTGGCCCGGCCCGACTTATAATTAAACCTAAAAACCCTAGTCGAATACCCCTCTTTTTTCACCTCTTTCCCTTATTTTTCCAGCCGAACCCTTCTTCTCCACATCCTCTTTCCCTTCTTTATATTCTTTTTTTAATGTAAATAAATTCTAATTTATATTGATTATTGAATAGGGAAATTTTCTAATTTTTTTCATTAGGTCAGGCTTCGGGCTTTTTATCAGGGCCCAAGTTGTAGGCCCGTTGGTCGGGCCGGGCTCAGGCTCGGGCCTAACATATTTCCATTAATGAAGAGTAAAAACCCGGCCAGGCCCGGCCCATGAACAGGTCTACCCTTCCCCACCTCTCCCTCCCTCCATCCATCCCTTCCTCATCCAGCATTTTTTTTTGAAGCACAAAGAAAAACTCCCCTCCCTCGTCCCTCTTGCCATTAATTGTGAAAATTTTAGAAAAAGTATAATAAATCCCTTATATTCAAATAAAATAAGGGAAATGTAAGAAATTAAAATAAAATAACCAACAAATTGAACTTTTCTGGTAAGATATTTGAACTATTGAAGTATATGTAATTAATTTAATGTATTGTAGCTAAAATACAGCTGTGTTGGTTTGGTTTAGCACAACCCTTCAGGTGAATTGTTGTAAAAATAATAGTATAATAATGGAACTATATTGAAAGTAGATTTGGTGGTTTATAGATATCTATATGGGGACCACCTTGGCAAGTCAGAAGCCCTTAAGCTTTAGCCCTCCCAAACAGGCACTACCAGTTTCCAACAGTCTATGACTGTTGGAAGTCATAGACATGTAGAATGTAATAGTACCCATGAGTCCATGACAATTCATGATTGGTGTTGGTCTTTAATTAGAAAGCAAGGAAATAAGAACAAAAGCTGAAATAATTCACCTTGAATAAGGATACTACACCTAATGTGCAGAAACCCTTGTACAATAAAAGAGACAGTTGCAGAACAAGTAGCTAGCAAATTGTAGGCTAACCAACAGGCAAAAACAAATAAGTTCTGTATTAATATCTTGATTAGAGAAACTATTATAGGTTAAATAATAGCAAGAAGTAGAATTCCAAATAAAATGATGGACTTCAGATAAATTACAAGTTAGAGACAACTGAAAATTCTACCAGATTTAAAATCAGCAAGAAACCATCAAGGCTCCCTGCAATTTCAAATATAAAAGAGAAAATAAAGTAAAATTCCAAATAAAATGATACCCTGCAAATCTGGTAAGAAAATGCCAAACTATGGTTTAGTTTTTCTTTGTTAGCTAGACATAAACCGAGCGTTAAGCCATAAACATTCCATGTGTTGACCTCTAGCCACATCCGTACACGAACCCAATGCTATAAGTATATAGTTACAGATAAGATTATTCTTATCTTGTTAAATAAAATAACTATAGCTATATTATTTAAGAATAAGAAGTATCTATAGTGGGGAAGCCCTAGTCTCGTGGCAGTTGTCAATGGGTTGGGTCTGGGTAGGATTAATCTTAAACCGATTATTTGATCAGGACAAAATTATAGACCTGATTATACTGAAAACAATAGTTGTTTGTTCAAATAATAACTTAAAATTTAAATATTGATAATATAATCTTAATAAAATTAATAGAAAATACTAAATTATTTATATGTTAATAAGTCAATAATTTTTAACTAATATTATCTTATTTATTATCTATCAATTTACTATTTCAAATATAAATATATGATAAAAATTATATATATATATATATATAATCGAAACCAACCCAATCCTTAATCGAGACAAAATCATAGAACCAGAACTGCTATACTTGGTTCGGTCGGTTTGGATTCATTAGGTAGACCCAACCCATTAATAACCCTAATCTAATTACCTTTTTGCTAGTAATAATAGATTGTTAGTACATCATTCCCAACTAAATAAATAATTTAAAAATAAAATAAATAAAAATAAATAATATATTTTAATTTTATTAAGTAAATAAATGTTTAGATAATATTTTATTAAATTGAATAAAATAAATAAATGAATAAATAAAAGTTTATCCTACTGTCGAAGCATCTCACACCTCAAGCTTTTTGGGTATGAACAATCCTAGGATCAAGATCTTCTTTATCTTGTTTCTTTGGATATATTTGACACCCCCTCTAATTTCATATAATTACTAAAGCAACCCCTATGATTTGTGTATGACTAAGACACCCCTCATAGTTTGGATTTTTTATTAGGGGCACTTTTGGGTTTTTCACCTTTTCATGAGGTTAAAGATCCTGAAATACCAATGGTTTCTCACAAAAATTGGATTAAGTAAATTGATTCCAATTTGCAAAGTATTGGGGTGTCTCACTAAGGTTGTGTTTGGTTGCATTGTAAATAAATTTGCATTGATCAAAACCATGGCAATGCAAATGATTTGAGTGTATTGTGTATTACTAAGACACCCGCATCCCTCATAGTTTGGTTTTTTTTCATTAAGGGCACTCTTGGGTTTTTCACTTTTTTCATGAGGTTACAGATCCCGAAATACCAATGTTTTTTCTCACGAAAATTGGATCAAGTAAACTGATTGCAATTTGCAAAGTATTGGGGTGTCTTATTAAGGTTGTGTTTGGTTGCAATGTAAATAAATTTGCACTGAACCATGGCAGTGCAAGTGATTTGAGTATAAATCCTGACCTATTTTTGTTTCAAATTTTAGCTTATTTTGTTTGATTGCAGTACAATGAAGTAAATTAAGACATTAAGCAGAACAAATAAAATCCAAAACAAAATTATACAAGAATTTGTATTTTTTACATTTCCACTCCCATGCATTTGTACTAGTGCAAAAAACAATTTAACAGTTGTCGTTGTTGTCACAGTAATTGCTTACAGTCAAAAAGCAATTACCATGCTCTTCCGGGTATGGCGACTCTTATGGGGAAAAAAAGAAAGAATGATGGAGAGCGAGAAATATGGGACTATCTGCTCTTTTACCTCTCTTTCTTTTCATTGAGATGGATTTTGGGTTCACCTGCAACTCGGTGAATATTTTTGCCGTCTGAGGAGGAGATAGAAGAACCATTGGAACGTCAATGGTAACTTGTTTATTTTCACCAATAACCACACAATTTTACCTCCCATTGAAGAACTTACAACAATCACCCGTCAAAGCTGATGTTCTGGTATGTGGTGGCATGCCAAAAGGGTCCTACATTCGAGCGACAAAAGGAAGCTTTGTCAAAAGCCTTGAACACATGTGGGAGAATCAAAACTACCGATGCGTCGCTAGATTAGTCCATGGAGACAATGTCGCTAGCAATAGTCATGGGAGATTTGATTATACTTCCTAATGGCTTTGTCATTATAGTCAATGGTGCTTCATCTAGGACTGTCATGTGGAAATTGGGCCGATAACCAAGAACCAGAACCAGTCCTCAAACCAGTCATTTACATACTAGATAACCCATCAAGGTCAAGGTTTGAAGTACAAAACCCGTCTGCCACACCGTGTATCTACCATTCTACTACAATTTGGGATGGAGGAACACATGCACACACATATTACAATTTCACCGGCGTGATCGAATGAGAGGGGGTAGGAAGAGGGACCACGACCATGTCTCTACCATTCTACTGCAATCCTACTTCGGGATGGACGGATTAAAGACGAGTCAGAGTCAGAGGGAAAAAGAACGAACAAGAGAGAGAGAGAGAGAATGGGGGGCTGGGCTGGGTAGGTTAATAAAATTAAATCTCAACTCCGTTAAATTTAAGTTTTAAATGTAAAAGGTGATGTGGTAGTTTTCTATTGGAGAGAGAGAGATATTTGACATTGAGACAGTGAATTTGACGGGAGAGATAGGGTA